GGGGGTTTCGGGGGTGGGAAGCGGGGCTGCTAACACGCCCAACGTGCCTGCCGTCCCTGTCCTGTTGTTTCTTTTTTTTAATTTTTATTTTCTGATATGTATCCATTTCATGCATCCATAACTATGTTTATCCTTATACCTGTTATCTTATATAATTGTTTGACAAAATAAATAAAATAAAATAAAAATAAATCCCTTCCCTGGGGCTTCCCCTCCTCTCCCGCACCTGGGAAGATAGGAGAGGCGGGGAGGGGATCTTGGATGCCGGCGTTTTGGTCAGAGAAGCCGTTGGCTTTGTGGGGAGGGGAATGGATCAGCCGCCCCCGCTGAATAGCCTGCGAGGAGCACCAACTGCGCCTCTGGCTGCTTTGAACCCGGCTCCGAAGGGAGGCTGCGCTCGGGTGGGAGAGGGAGAAGCCCATGGACAGATGCTCCGCCGGGTGCTTTGCAAAGGGGGGCTGGCTGGAAGGGAAGGGGCTACTGAGACCCCGAAAGTTTTGCTGTCTCCTAGCACCGGGGCCGCTCTCTTGCAAGAGCGGGAGAAGAGAGTTGGGTGGCCAGGAATAATGACTCTTCAAAAGGGGGTCGGGCAACTCCTCCAAAGCCCTCGATCCAGCAGGCGAGAAGAGACTACAAAGGCCAGCATCCTGTTCCTGCTGGCTGGGACTGCTGGGGAGTTGGAACTAAAGAAGAGGGGAGCCTTTGTGTTAGGATTGGCTTGCTTTTCCCAGCAAGGGGCACAGGAAAAAAAAAAAAAGCGGGCTCTCCTGCCAAAGTCGGGGTGAGAAAATTCCTGCAATGCTCCTTTTTGGCTGGCTAAATTGCCTTTGTCTCTTTCTGCAGGGTTCTCTGCATCAGCTGGGAAGGAAGACCACGAGTTAACCAATGGGTGAGTTTGTTCTTTGGAGGCCTCCCACTTGCTAGCAAGGCAGTTTCTTCCCACTCTCCCTGGAAACAAATCATTGGTGGGATTCAATATTTTTTTTTACTCCCTCCCTAATTCCTAGAGGAAGGTTACTGCAAAACCCCCATTCCCTCCCCACCCCACTAACCTGCTTTCCAGCTCCGTTCTCCTGTGCAGGGCAACCAAAGAAGATCTAGCCAATCAGCTGGGACTCAGGAGGCAGAGAAGAGATGGGATTGGCGGGGCCAGTCAGAGGCGGGATTTGCCGGTTATCCGAACTACTCAAAATTTCCGCTACCGGTTCTCCAGAACTGCTCAGAACCTGCTGAATCAGATGCTTTCCCCTCAGGCCTCCCCTTCCTTCCCCTCTCCCTCCCCCCTCGCAGTTAGCACCAACCAACTACAGCTAGTTGGAATGTAAATATTCTCTTCTATTGGTCATTAGGCCTGCCCATCATGCTTTGTCAGAGGGTCTCAAACTTTGCCAGATTGTGACCCCTGCCATAATATGAATTTGTATTAGTCCCCCCCCACCCTCCTCTGCAATAATAAAATTGTTTTCTTGGGGTTTGTGTCAGGCAGAAAATGAATGTCAGTCTCCAAGAACTATGAATGATATTTATTTGTATTCCCACTTTTATGTTTTGACAAATAACTCCAAGTGGCAAACATGTCAAACACAGCTTCTTTCTCCTCTTTCTCCCACAACAACCCTGTGAGGTGGGATGGGCGGGGCTGAGAGAGAATGACTGACTCCAAGTCACCTAGCTGGCTTTCAGGACTAAGGCGGGAGTTGAACTTCCAGGCTCCTGCTTTCTAGTCCGATGCCTTAACCACTAGACCAAACTGGCTCTAATTTGCCATTAGTTCCTTTTTGCTGATGAGGATATACAGGAAAGGCAGTGCATTGCTTCCTTTCTTATTTATTTATTTTATTTGGTTTGTCAATTGCTTACAAGATAATAGGTATAAGTAAAAACAAAGTTATGAATACATGGATGCATGTTAGAAAAATAAAAATATATATAAAAGAAACAATGGGACAGGGACGGTAGGCACGTTGGGGCGTTTATGCACGCCCCCTACAGAGCTCTTAGGAAAGAGGTAGTAGACAGTCTAAGGTTAAAGTTTTTGAGGTTTGGGGAAGGAACCACAAAGTCAGGTAGAGTATTCCAGACATTGACCACTCTGTTGCTGAAGTCGTATTTCTTGCAATCAAGTTTGGTGCGATTAACCTTGAGTTTGTATCTATTGTTTGCTCTTGTGTTGTTATGGCTGAAGCTGAAGTATTCATTGACAGGACATTGCAGTGTATGATTTTATATACTGTACTATACTTAGATCGGACCGAAGGCGGCGTAGTTCTAGGTTGTCTAGGTCTAGCATTTCAAGTCTGGTGGCATAAGGTATTCTGGAACGAGTAGAGGAGTGGAGAATTCTTCTTGTGAAATATTTCTGGACTTTCTCAACTGTGTTAATATCAGATATGTAATGTGGGTTCCAGACTAATGAGCTGTATTCAAGTATAGGTCTAGCAAAAGTTTTGTATGCTCTAGTTAGTAGTGTGATATTACCAGAGAAAAAGCTACGTAGGATTAGGTTAACAACTCTTAACGCCTTTTGGGCTATGTAGTTACAGTGGGCTCTAGCACTTAGGTCATTAGAGATGAGTACTCCAAGGTCCTTGACAGAGTTTGGATCATCAACAAGGTCTTGACTATTCAGCTTGTATTTTATTTTCTGATTTATTTATTTTTTGCCAATATGTAAGACAGCATTTATATGTTGAGATTTGAAGCTGCCATTCTGATACATAGTCAAGGTCTTTTTAAAAGATAGCAGTATTGTCTGTGGTGTTGAATAGCTTTTCATCATCAGCAAAGAGAACTGTTCTTTCCTCCTTTGTGCGTTTTATTCTTTTGAAGATACGGTATTGTTCCTTGTTTCATATATCTCTAGAAAAGAATCTTGCCAGACTAAAAACAACTGCTTGCATCATTGCAGATGTATTCTGGGAATAATTAAGGAGGAGACTTTTTAACCCCTTTCCTGCCAAACCAAGCTCTTCGAGCTCCATCCCATCTTTGCTCTCTGGAAAGCAGCCCTTCTAGGAATCCAGGCTACATTCACCACAATATGCGTTCTAAAATGGGAGCGACTTGCTTGGCTGCAGCTACTTCGACTCTCAAGAAGGTTGGGGGTTCGGAGTTGAAAGCGCCCTCTGGGTTGAGTGATTCTTTGGGGATTGTGACAACACAGCAGAATTGCATTCCCAAACTGTTACACATCCGTCAGTCTACATCGGATTCGGGGATTTTTAGCAAGAGAGGAACCATTGACAAAGCTGTTCTGGGTGAGTCTGTTGCTTCGGATTATGTTAGTTTAAAGTGAGAGCAACAGAGGTGTTAGTGGATTGCATGGAGGATGTGAGATCATCTGTAATCTCTGAAAGTGCTAGGTGTTTAGGATGGCAGAAGCAACGGGGGCGAGTGTCTTCTGCGATGGAGGCCATGTGATCAAAAGAGGAAATGAGGCAGATGTGGAGGGCTAAGGAGCCAATCCATATAGCATGTCACTGCCATCTATCTGTTTGTTAATGTGCTCCCTAAAGCCTAAAATGGATTACATGAAGCTAGAGTTAATAACAAAATCAGGAGGTGAGAAACTGCTGTGTCATCATTCAGTGGAAACTTGGTTAAAACATTCTGTCCTGAATAATCCTGTTAGCTTGGGTGGAGTTAAAACATGCAGGCTTATTTTCTTCTGAGAGCAGGCATCAGAATTTGATTTTTTTTAAATGTGTGCCAGTATGTTCACAGAAAAATATGACAATAAAAGTTATCTCTTAGTCACATTTTATTCTATAGGTGATATAAATAAAGGATGCTGGCTGGGGAATTCTGGGAGTTGGAATCCACACATCTTAAAATGGCCAAGGATGAGAAACACTGATATGAAGTAACAAAATGATGTTAAAATAACACAATATCAGTGGAAAGAAGAGCAATAATTTTGGTTTTCATACAGGCTTTTTTTAAAAAAACAACAACAACAAATTTTATTAATTTTACAGACAAACAAAGCATCATTAAACATTAAAGACATTGAACCTCTTTCCATTATAAATTTTTCAAGGCAAATAAAACATTGTTTTATATAATACAATTCTAATATATCCCATTTCCACTTAAATATTTTTTTAGCAAATTTCTCATTATTTCTCTTTACTCTTATTCAATTACATTTCTTCTATATTTATCCATTTTATACTCATCATATTCATATTTCCCTCTGCCTTGTTTACAAATATTCCTCTCGCTTTCTCCCAAGGTTTTATTAAATCTCAATCAGACATACACACACAAAACACAAAACATAAAACTTCTTTTTAAAAAGTAGCTTGGCCCCGGATTACCTCTCTTTGTATGGACTTCAATTAAATTCATGTTCAACTTATATGCCATTACCTATCTTATTATAACTTCTCCCCGCTTTCCACTCTTCTTAATTCTATTTTATTTCATCTTAATTTAAATCATTATATTTGTATCTTTTGTCCATTCTTTTCAATTATCCATTTATCTCATTCATATTAGAAAAAAAAATATTTCTCCTGAAATCACTAATCGAAGTATGATGCCTTTCCATCGCTCCCCTACATTAACATCTAATTCCCTATCTGATTCTGCTTAGTACATTCTACTTACTAAAATAGTAAATCCATAAAGTAATTAAATATATAATTAAACATTAAATCTCATAGCATTCCAATTATCTATTTCAAAAACAAATACCATAATAATAAGTTCATATGAACATCCACACAATAGTCAATTAAACTCTATACTTAAACTGAATGTTTTAGACATTCCTTTTAATATTTTATTAAATCTTAAAATCTATCGTTATTAAACCTTTAATATTTTAATCTTTACTTAAGCCTTATAAAATTCTAATTTTCTAATATATATATAATTTTCTATATAAATTCTAATTCTCATACAAATACTACAATACTATCATGTACCTTGCAGAAACATTTTGAAACAAAGTTATGCATTACCCATTATCCATAAAAAAAGATTTCTTCTCCACACCTTATTTCATACCTTTTTGGCTCCCCCCCCCC